ATGTCGTGTTTTCTGACAAATCCCGCTTTAATTTGTGGTACCATGATGGCCGCATTCGTGTCAGACGCTATGCCGGTGAACGCCACCTTCCGGAGTGCATTATCGAACGCCACAGTGGACGAACACCCGAAGTTATGGTCTGGGGCGCCATAGCATATCATAGACGATCTCAATTGCTACGAATTGTGGGCAATCTGAACAGCAACCGGTATATCCGTGAATTTCTACAGCCCGAAGCTGTTCCCTTCCTTCAAAGCTTGCCAGGCGCTGTATTTCAACAGGACAATGCCCGCCCTCATACTGCTCGGATTGTTAAATCCTTCTTTGCAGCGCAGCAGGTACAGCTTCTTCCTTGGCCTGCGTGTTCCCCGGATATGTCGCCAATTGAACATGTGTGGGATGTCATTGGTCGGCGTCTTGCTCGTGATCCTCGTCCTGTTGCGTCTGCAGACGAACTTTGGGTACGCGTACAAACGATATGGAATGCTCCTCCTCAGTCAGACATTCAAACTTTGTTTGACTCCATGCCATGTCGTGTAGCAGCACTTATTGCGGCGCGTGGTGGCCACACAAAATACTGATTCTGATCTCTTGTTCTTGTTTGTTTGCTTTGAACATTTAATCATTTATTTGTACCACTACCACTCAACTGTGTATTAAATTGCATTCAATTATGACGATTCCTTCTTGTTGTTGCAATTTTCACAAACGTGAGTGTATAAGAATATTATATTTCCTTCTCCGTAATTCATTCGCGAAAAAACGCACTTGAGACTCAGAATAAGAACTTAAAACACACAGTACATTCAAAATGAGATAGGAAAATAATGGAAGTTATAAACTTACCAAATTATGTGATTCAAATCTTATTTATTGCAACAACTTAAACTATTATGACACTTTGAATTGGACAAGAGGCCCTTGCTTTTACAACTGCATTTATTTGTGGAACACTTCGTTTTGGAATGACAGCGTGTACATATACTCCTCTCTTTTCGACTTACACCAGAGCATATCTGTGATTGTCGACATACACCGGTGAGGGTCCGAATGTACAAGAATGTAAAGAAATATTCGATCTTTCACCGACGTATTTGGTGAATGTTGACATTCTCCGGTGAAAGTCGACATTCTTCAATTTCGGTCTTTCACGGTAACATATGTACTAGCAGCTTCGCTGCCAGCCTTCGTCTGGGTTTTAAATGTACCGGAAAAATGGCTGAAGGAAACACCAAACGTTAAATTTAAAAACTGCCTAGAATTTTACTCTGGAGAACAACTTCATAAAAAAAAGTTACTACGTAATTAACAAAATTACAATGAAATAAGCAATATCTCTTAATACAAATATTAATTATCCTAATAAATAAATTAACCAACTTCCCTTTGCAAAATCTTAAGAATTCAAATGGTATCAAGGAGGATAAGAACTTTGTTTCCTAAAAAAATCACTCAAAACTTTTCAGTATCTTAAAAACAGTGAAATGAGCAATAAATAACATAAAAGAATACAAAAAATAAAAAATTCTGAAAAGCAAAGTATAATTAATGATATTTTATCTTATATTTTCAAGAGAAAAAAATTACGATGAAATAAGGTATATCCCTTAATACAAATATTAATTATCGTAATAAAAAAATTAACCAACTTTCCGTTGAAGTAAACAAATCATGTAAAACTTTCCAATATCTTACAAACAGTGAAATAAGCAAAAAATAACATGAAAGTAATTTAAAAAACATAAAATTCCGCGCAGAATTTTACTCTGAAAAACAACTTTATATATAAACAAAAAAAAAAAAAAAAAAAAAAAAAAAAAAATAAAAATGTATTATATATATATATATATATATAAATGACAATGAAATATGCCAATATCTTAAAAACAGGGACATAAGAAATGCGATGAAAAATTGTTGCCAAACCCATATTTCTAAAAGAATGAAACTATTCAAAATGATCCGATTTCATTAAAAATCTATCAACAACAATAAGAAAGGAAAAATTGTTGCCAAAATCACGTTTTTAAAGATGTGAGAAGTGCACTCGGAAGCTTCACTTAAAAAAATTTTTAAAATACAAAATATTATCATTTTTCCAAAATTCCTTTTGTAAAAGCAGTCTCAAGGATGAAAGTTTAACGTGTCCAGAAATCAAAGAAAAATAAACTGTACATTTTTAAAAATAAACTTTTTTAGAAAAAATCCCGTTGAAAAGGTGCTAAGCTCCCTTTGTTAAATAAATTCGTATTTAATCTAATTATTGAAACACGAAATTTATTTTAGGTTCGTGAAATAGCTAAGTGTCTACGTTTCATGACAATGTGAAAATGGAGTGTGTAGAGTAAAATCTCGCTTTCTTATAGCCCATTATGTCTCAAAATGACGCGATTTTGTCACAAAACCTAAAATTAAAAAAAATTTTAATTCGAATTTCGAAAAAATCGCTTCGAGGTGCACTGGTTCTTGTCTAGATACAACTATATGTACCAAATTTCATGACCGTATAGAAAGAATTGAGACATAACTACGAAACTCGACAGTAGTATATCATTCATGAAGTAGATAAACATAACATCAAAAAAACGGTTTCGTTTACGAGAAATAGTACAAAGAACGTGAAAATCAGTAGGTGGTAAAGCCACCCCTGGTAGCTATCAGGACTTAAAAGTTATAACAGTTAAAACTTAGATGAGAAATTTTTAAAATGTAGTTAATACCAGTTTTCTATAGAGTTATAGAAATTTTGAATAGAGGTGTTTTATTCTCGAAGAGAATTTTGACTAAGTTTTTGATTTCAATTTGTCCAACTTTATTTTCAACTGTGTCAATTCTGCCTTCTATAGCTTCAAATTTATTTTCTATTATGCAGGTAATTTCTCTTTTCATTTCTTTTTGACCAGCTTGAACGGCTTTCATTTCGTCCTTAACGGATTCCTGGGCCAATTTCATTTCTTCCTTAACGGAGTTGACGGCCCCTTCCATCTTTTCTTGGAAAGCAGCAAATGCAGTCATCATTTGCCTGAATTGTTCTTCCATCGCTCTTGTAATTGGCATTCAAAATCCCACTTCTGACACCAAAAATTGTTGCGTGCGTACGGGTTCGTTATGAAATGAATGCACAAGTCCGATGAAAAAGGAACAAAAATTTATTATTATCACAACAAAAATGCTTAAATTTTCTCAAATTATCATGCAGTAATACAATATCTCACAGTAGTTATCTTTTAACTACTCAAATATCCAATAGAACGCAATTCAAAACAGCTAAAGAACGCTAATCCGCGAATTCGCTACAATCAACAAGAGCAGTATTCTAAACAACAACAAACTAAGCAACTACTACGAACTGAGATGTTTTCCTCCTTTTATAAGATTTTAAAATCACGCGCTAGAATTTTCCAGTACTTTCTCGAAATCAAAAAGAGATATTTATTTATTTAATGCACGCGCTCTTATATGTTCAATTTTCCGGCTTAGCTTTCTTTTAATATTCGTCACGCGCTGCACTGCGCGAGAAATAAAACCATTGAATTTATAATTGAACTAACATTAGCTTTTTAAATACCAAATTCGTAACAATATCATCCATGTATCTGTAAATGTAAGAATAATAGGAACATTGTGCTTGAGATAAGTGTTGTTGTAAATGAAGTTTCTTCGTGAAAAAGTACGAATTGCAGATTGGTAAACTTGTTTTAGTTCCCATAGGGATACCGCTGATTTGTTTAAAAAAAGCGTTATTCAATGCAATATAGTTATTAAAAAGAATACTTTTTAAATATAGCTGCCACTGTTCTTCGGAAGTAACCGCAATAATTTATGAAAAAAAATCTCTTAGAGTTAGAAGACTGTCAAAAACTTCTTGTAATGGAAGAGCAGTGAATAAATTCTCAAAGTCGTAATTTCAAATATACATATTCCCCCCTTCAAAAGAAAGGTTGGGAGAGCATGGTGGAAGAAAAAGCATTAGTATATATGTAAGATTATAACAAAATACGATGGCTGCTGTAACAGTGATTGGCGACCTCAAAATTGACTATTCTAAATTTTATGCTCTTCCCCTAAATTGATCTGTTCTCCCAAATTCGAGATCTTTTCATGTTACATAACGCTGCTTGAAAAATGGAACTAAAACCTAAAATTAACCAATCACAGATTAGCTGTACTTATGCACTTACTAGTATTAAATAGCTACTAACTGCGTAGTTTCTCTCTCTCGCGCCTCTTTTGCCTGCCTGTTGACGGCGTGTCGTTCGGCCTCTGCTAGCTATTTGCCATTATTGAAAATGCAATAGCGTATCTAAAATTATGGGCGCGTTTAGCACCCCTACTCTTCTATTAGATATGAAGATATATGCTAAGAAATTCGTCATTCAAAAATAAATGATGTTTAACTATCAAGCCGATCGTGCTTCTTCCAAAAGTTCATTGTGTCAATCCACTACGTGGTAATTTCCAATCACCTACGCAGTTAAATTACTACATTTATTTACAGTCGACTAGGATACATATCCTGTGTGTCCAAACTCCAATGGAAACGTCATTGCAGTGTCTGCATTAACCGACCACCTCTTCAAACTTTGATGTGCAAATGAAATTCAAAATGGATATCGAGTATCTTCAAGTTCAAAAATTTAAAAGTTCGACATCACGGTGCACTCCTTTGAAACGAAAGAGGCGAAAAAGAGAAAGACTACGCAGTTATTAGCTATCTATACTAGATAGGTGCATAAGGTACAGCTAATCTGTAATTGGTTAATTTTGGGTTTTAGTTCCATCTTTTAAGCAGCGTTATGTAACATGGAAAGATCTCGAATTTGGGAGAACAAATGAATTTAGGGAGAGAACACCAAATTTATTTTGAGGTCGCCAATCATTCTTAAAGCAGCCATAGTATTTTGTTCTATCTTACATATATATATATATATATATGTGTGTGTGTGTGTGAGAGAGAGAGAGTCCTTCTAAATTTCTTAAGAAAGAAATTCGGCTTGTAGACTCATACATTTATTGAAGCTTATGTACAGCGTGCGTTTGAGACATTACATGGTAGAGGGAAATGTAGATGAAATTATAACTGATGCTTGCATGCACATTTAGAGTGTGTAGTATCATGACACAAATATTGTGACTAATTAATTGAATTGTGAGATGAACAGAATTATTGTAGGCTATCTACCCTAAGCCTGCCATCTTGCTCTTCTACGACTATCCTTTCGTTACGGCACTTTGTCTCTTCTCGGAGACGACTGACTGTGTTCCCAACGGACGCTGTCCCAGCAAGAAAGTGGTGATAGCACCATCTTTCAGTGAGAATGGGTGGGGCATCCCATATATCTATACATATGTATATGTATGAAGTATTATGAGTTCGAATCCTAAGTATGTATGTCTCTCTACACCCATGTATCTAAATATGAAGGACTATATGAGATCACTGAGGATCATTAATATATTCGCGTCACTAATAAGCTTCAGGTTACCTTCTAATATGTGTATCCCCTCTTTGTTTCGTATTGGTTTATATAAATGCATTGACAGGGACTCAACGCTATCTCAGTGTGCAAAAAGTGCTTGTCTCACTTTTCTTTGTTTCCGTGCCTACATTTCTGCTCTGAAATTGCTTTCCCTAGTTCTACTGTTATTCATATTATCACCGTGTTAACTACATCGTTTTTTAAAAAATTCCTTTCAAAGGAAAAAAATGAAATTTTCTTTTTATCATTCTTTCCAAAAACTGCATAATGTACGGGAAAGAATTCCCATTAGATTAAGATATCAGAATCCCTTATTTTCATATAATTGAACACATTATAAGATATAAAATATTTTTCATCGCTATTATCTGTGGTTTCATGTATCCGGGGGTAAACCTTGGAAGTATTACCCGAAGATATGGAGCAATATTATGTGCCATTATCTGTGATGCTAGTTGGTGTCAAATTATATTCAGAATAACAGGAAAGGAGTTATTGAATTGGAATATCATTGCATCTATAATTGCAACATTGAAACCACTTTAACATTTAAACAATTATCATTCCTTTCATTTACATATAGAGTTCTAAAGACTTTCAGCTAAATATTTATAAATTGTCAATCATCTTCATCGTCTGAAATGATACCTATTCTCTTTCCAACGCATTTAACAGATCTCGTGACTTCTTCCTGCACCAGATTGAAAGACATGGCCAAAAGAGCCATACCAAACAACAGATACAGAGAACAAAGACCAAGTGTCAACTGGTTATCGTCTGAAATGACAGCAGTGCCTGGTACGAGATCACCAAAACCAATGGTTGTGAGAGTCACGAAACAGAAATAGGAGCTGTCCAAGAAATTCCATTTTTCCCAGAAAGTGAAGAGAACTGCACCGCCACAAATGTAGCTGATGACGAGGGCTAGACACAGCCACATAGGAACTGTCACTTCCTCCTCATCGTCTGGTTCCGGAGTAAGATCACGAAGTGATTCTTCATCTGTCATGTCAATGTCAGTGTCCATATAGCGGTGGTCTCTTTTCCATTGGTATCTAGGAAAAATACGCATATGTATAAGAAATAATATTATTCATTAATTAAACTACCACCCAAAAAGATAAAATATGGACCTAGACAATTTTTCACAACTATGAGCATGGATCATTGACATCATGAAAATGAAAAAGATTTTTTTTTATTTAATAAGGAATGCATTAGCACTTCTAAACCTCACTCATTGTGTGGAAGTACTGATGGTTCAAAGAACCATGCTTTGAAGTAGTTAGATTGTGGTATAGAATTTTAGTTTTTTTTTTTTTTTTTCATTCATCTCCCTTTAATCAGTTTCACATGTTCTTATTTTTGTGCATTATAAATAGCAGTAAAATAAAAATCTATAATATAATTTTGAAATAATCGTACTTATGTATAAAACTTCAGCAGACGATTCTCATTTTGAAACATTTGTTACCAAATATATGACATTACTTTTCCCTAAAACAACGTTATTTTACTAAAAACGATTGTTGACATATATGTTCTTTCTTCCATAACAGCAGGTAGCCCGTTGTGTAGCATTTCGCGTGTATTCAGATGAGGTAGAAAAAGATAGTATTTAAAGGAAAGTTTTAGATGGTAGAGCGTATTCCGCCTGCTGAAGGCCGGGGTATTAATTGAAACGCAACGTCGCAGTTTATCTGCGGCTTTGCGTCATTATCACCATTGGAATTGTTATGCCGATATCAAGTCTGAGCTAACTTGCATTCATTTTGTGTGTGTAGCTTTTGGGCTAACTTACAGTTTACTTAGTTAATTTCAATTAATTATTTTGGATTTACGCCATAAATGCTGGCTGGTCCTGTAAGTAGAAGTGCCTTCTGTTAATTTATCTGAGTTAATAAAAGGGTCTTTTATACCCTTTCTAAAGTCTGTATTGTAAATTCCAAGACAAAGCGCTAAAGTCTTCCAGAGTTTTCACTTAGTTTCTATTACCAAAGAGGATAAGACTCTATACTCGTTTATCATTTAATAGTAGCATAATAACTATTACTGCAAAGGGCAATAAATGAGAGCACATACATTATTATCGATTTGGTTTATTACCCTTAAAGAGAAAAAGACGTTTTCATGCGTTCACATGCATGCCTCGACATGTGCGATGAACATTTTCGTATATAAACATATGCAAATTCTGATATCCATGTTTCCAATATGGTTTTCTTTTCTTGCCCTAGATATAATTTCACAATTTTCTTTCGCATTTATTTCGAAAACTATGTGTTGTACAGGTACAATTCTTTGAGCACTTTTTGTATATTCCAAGCGAGGAATCTGGCTGTAGCAGAGTTTGAGCGGTCTTGATGAGACACGGTATATACGGGGTTTCAGTTGGACAATAACAACCGAAGAAATTAAAGAATTACTCTAAAAATTAAAGAATATGTAATGGAAAATTGACATGTGACATTTTTTTCTGAATGCTATGAAAATGGTTTATTAGGTTAGTGGAAAAGTCTAACGTATGTACCAAATGAGTAGTTTTCGAACAAGTTTCGGATATAGAAAGGGGTTGAATACCACTGTTTATGGGGATAAAGAGGCCCGTTGCTCATGAACTGTTTGCCGTATGACACCACGATAATAGAGTAACGACATTATGTCATGATAAAGATATCATATTAACTCCGGTAGCCCCTTGCAGACCATAAAGAAGAAACGCTGTGGCAAACTGATTAAACAAACAACGTAGCTGCACAAAATTGTTTGGCTTTCCTACTCAATAATTCGGCAGTATGGATTTCAGCTTCTCCCACTAGCAATGTGTTTACCAGACCTATATTAGAATGGTTCTATTTATTTGTTAATATTACATTATATTTGTTTATTTAATTCAAAAATTAAAATAACATTTGCAAGCTTCTCATTACAACAACGATGATGACGTGAAAGATACCGTTTAGGAAATGTTTTTAGAAGCGTGACAGAATATTATTGATGATGGAATTAGACTCCTAATTTATCCAAGTTTATTATTTTGCTTTAACTCCTGTGCGCTCCAAGTGCTAAGCGCACAGGAGTTAAAGTAAACATTACAGAAAACTGAGTAGGTCATTTTAGATATTTAACTTACGTAAATGAATTAGACTCAAGACTCCTTGAACGCCTTTCGTCCACATTGTGATAAACAGTATTCATTCCAATAGCTGCCTCCGTAAGTGCAAACGAATTGGAGGTTATCTCGACTACTGTGTTTGCTAATGTTTTTTGTTGTCATGAATATCTGATCAGAAAAAAAGCTAAGTGTATTCTAGAACCTGTTCTGTTTTTTGCACAATGTTCCTTGTTGTAAGAGAAATAAGATAACTGCATATAAATCACATTAAAATTTTTATAGATAAAATGTACTATAAATAATTAAGATGTTGATAACTTTATTAAAAATAAATAAATGTGAAATATGGGATAATTTTTGTCTGTTCATTAAATTGGAGGTGAGTTTTTTTTTTTTTTTTTTTTTTTTTTTTTTTTTTTTTTTTTTTTTTTTTGGAGGGGGCTTTGTAGAAATAAAACTAGAATGCACGTAGTTATGTTGATATTATGAAATAAAAGCAAACAAGTATTCAGAATCAATCCATTTTTTGACTATTCCCAGACGAAACAATGCATTTGAATTCAGATTCCAATCGAAATTAAATGTTGAAATGATTTATTAATTTTAATGTTAGAGAAGTGATCAGTTTTGAGTTTCTTTTCTAACTGAATCAAAAGAGCCTATTAAATTCTGATCAGTCCTCTCGCCTAAAATGTCGGCACTTTTAAAAAAATTTTATTTGCATTTAATTCTAACCAAAGTAATAGAAGTCTTATTTTAATTACCTATCATTTGTTCTGTACGCCTGATGAGTGTCATATTGGTATCCGTCGCAGTTGTTTTGCTTCATGATGGTGAAAATGTTTGGTGCTGCAAACAATGCACATCCATCTTTTCTCCGAAGTTGCAAAGGTCTTGCATCAATTGGCAAATCTTCCTGGATAGCATACTTATTTGTTATCACAGGTGCCATTGCTATATCTTGAGTCTGGTGAGTGAAGTGTTGGTTCGTGATCGGCCTGTTGGTTGGATTTGAATGCATGGTCGGAAGGAAACATTGAACTTGGCTGACATCGTGTCTTGGCGTGGAAGTAGAAGAGCTGATAGTAGGCGAAGCGCTGCTCTGTGCTGTGTGATATGTACTGCTTGATGGTAAATGAGGAGAGTCTGTCACAGGATGATTACATTGTGTTGATCTCATGTTTGTGGCAGCCGATGGTCTTATGATGGGTGCACGATATGGAATGGTGACTGGTTTGCTGGTTGTTCTTTTACGACGCTTCTTTGGACGAACGCAAAGATAGCAACATACCTTCCAATAAATGAACTTAAAAGAATGTGCCATAACATCCCCTATGTTGGAAAGGCACAAAAGTAATAAAGGAATTCCTACAATGGCGTAAAAAATTGTCACTACTTTGCCCCATGGAGTTTTCGGAGCAATATTTCCATAACCTGAAAAACAAAAATGACATAAATATGCAATTTAATTTTTTTGAAATAAATTTTCATCTCATAAATTTAGGGGCTTTGCTACATAAAATATCACGTACTTTATTAATAATGTGATTACAGCAAAAGATAGCTCATATATATTTTCACTAGGAAAAAGTAAGGTTAAAATGTCGGTAAGTAAAAAATGATAGGATAAACTAACAAGTAGATCAATTACCGGTAGATGGGGAGCTCAGTTCCTGAAAGAAACAAAACTTTTACAGGAAGAAACCGCTTTATAAGATAAGAATAAATACATAATAATTGAAAAGAAGCTTACAATAGCGTGTAATTAAATATACTAATAAAGACATTAGCTTCAAATATGGGACAAAATCAGAATGATATCATTTTAGGTTCAATCTCTTAAGTCCTTACCCAGATATAAAAAAGTTAGAGGAATTTGTAATATTGTTTTCAGCATACGCAATTTAAACTAATATTTGAAATTTTGCATAGTGGAGCAGGAATCTTAGGCTAAAAAAGGAGAAATTAATAAACCTAGTGTCTCAAATTACTCTCAATTTCTCTTTCTTTCTTCTTCTTTAAAATTATCTAAATAATTTCTTCAGCTATCGGAAAGCTTCCAGGTTCCATTCAAAACTGTTAACATTAGAAAATTATTTTAATTCTTACATTCACTTTCAAAAGGCATTAGCATTTTATCTCATATTTTGTTTTCTTTTACATCCAGCTACATTCAGGAGATGACATTATATGCTCAGCATATACATATTGCAATTGTTTCCATTGTGAAGGGAACATCCAAGAAAGAAATATATGCTTTGAAATACGCAGGGCTTTTTCACTTAAAACGACTTAGAGCAAGTTATAAATTTGTTTTCTTGTATGAGTAAACACTTGTAACTGTAAATAAAGCTTGAATGCAGATTTAATTTAAAAGGATAAAATTATATTTAAAAAACGTTTCGATACCAGATTACTTGCTCACCTATAAACGCAAAAAAGTCACTATTTGGTTTATCCTGGTGTTCAGATCCATCATCGTTCCCTCTGAGACTGCAAAAGCTTTTAAACTTGATGTTACGCACAAAATTATTTAAACTACAAAATAAATTTGAACTCTTCGACGATGAGGCAACTTGCACGAGTATGTTCGCCTAATAACTCAGATACTGCTCAACAATCAATAACACAACCTCAACCAGCAACTATTATGGTTATGGTTAAACCACCGATAAACGGTATTTATAGTGATTGCTTGGAATACCTTTCAACATATATTTAAAATTCTTAGGCCACCTGAACACAGCATTTATAAAAATTCCACCCCATACTGATACTGATCGTGGCAAACTGCCTTCGCTACTTGGAAAGTATTCCATACAACATTTTGTTACTAATTCGAAAATTAAATTTCCTGGGAAAATTATACTTCGTGGCCTTCCCTGGCACATAAAGCTGAAGCGATTATCAATGCTTCAAAAGAATCTGGTTACCCTGCACATAAAATCTGGCTGTCAACCAAAAGGTACTTATCTAGAGGGCAGAAGCTGGAATTCAATCCTCATAAATTTCAGAACTTATAAGAGGGGGGTTAGTTCATAGAGCTTTTCCCCCTGAAGCAGGAAGTGAGGAGTGATGACGCAGTCATTTGTCACTGACTACAAAGGCGCAGTTCTCAACAAAGAAATTAACATTTTAAATTTGAAAAAAAAAAAAAAACTCTTTGTGAAAAATTAGCTATAATTTAGAAGAAAGATGTTATTACTCTATTCATTTTGTAAAGATTTTAAGTTTTACTAACGTTTATTTTATTTTAAAACTTTTATTTTTTAAAAAACTGTTCTCTCTTATTTTACACTTTCGGCCAGAATAAACGCGGTTAGTTTTAGTATGCAAACTGTGCTTGTAAACTGTTAAGTATTTAAGTTGTGGCTTTTAGCCAAGAAGGAGAGTTAGAGAGAGAGACTTCTCGCCACCGTATTTCACGCGCGCTTTTCAGTCAGTTGCTTTCCGTCTTTAACGCCAGAAATTTAGTCCTCTCGATATTGAAGACGCATTGTAGTTTTCCCGCATTCTGCGTACTGCATACTTAAAGATTAAAATGCCAATTCTCGCGTTTATAATATTTGTAAAGCATTTGAGTTTAGCTCTTACTTAATTTAGTTAGTTTGTAGGTCTTATTGTTTTACGTTCATATCACAAATACTGGTCTTTGCATCCCGAAGTGCGGAAGCAGCTGTAAACTGTAAAGAATAAAGGGCAATTAAACCCTTCCCATCTGTGTTGTATCTTCTACAATTTCTATGAACATAGTTTAAAGTAAAGTCGCTGTTATACATCAGAATCCCAACATGTTTTCCAAAATGATTAGAAGAAATAGTAGTACTGATAGTGTCGCCCGAAGAAAAAGACATATGGCCGACGATCAGGAAGAATTGGATGCACTTGCAGCATCGGCTCAGAATCCAGAACTGCCAGCCGCCAGCCTAGATGGACTCGGGTACATCGTCCAGACCATACGGACAGCAATGAAGCCGGCGGCAAGCTTCGATGGGAATTCTCCGGTGAACAGAATTCTGGAGAAATTAGACACCGATTTTATGTTGTATCCAGTTCAAGAATTTCAGAATGTCAGCCTGGCTACCAGCGCTTTGAAGGGGTCAAGCGTTTAACTGGCTCAAGTACATCGGAAAAAATCTCTTGGTTCAACCAGGAAGTCCCATCATACTTGCGAAAATTTCAAAGCCGCTTTGGTAAAGGCCCTCCCAGTAGTAAGAAATCGAGCCAAGTTGGAGGCGGAACCTTTTAGTATATAAGAGAAAAGAATTGAGGAGCTATTGAGAACTTTATTTTGAGAAAAATAAAACTCCTGTATGGAAGCCGGCCGGATCCTGAAATAATCCAGAAGATTTTGCCTAGATTACTACTCCAGGTACAAGACTTTATTGATTTAAGGAACCCTACGGCATTGGAAAAAATATTCGAGCTCGCAATCTAGTTTGAAAGCAGAACGGCGGACAACGAAAGAAACGCCAGCATAAGCAACGAAGCCAATTTGGTACGTCAAGGCCACAGCGGAGGCAAGAACAAGGATACAGAAGCAAATGAAATCAGTCGTCAAAGAAACTCGAAAATTCAAAAACAAGTGGCGAACGTCGACAGTTCAATAGAAAGACGGACAAAAAGTATGAATGTGAGCGGAAAAAAGAAGGAAGGCCCTGAAAAGAATAAAAAAGAAGATTTAAACTGAAACGGATTTCTGCTGACGGGTTGTGAAAAATTTAGTTTTACCAAAAATTAAAGTGAACAATATCCCAGCTATCGCCCTCCTGGATGCAGGAGCTCAGTGTAGCTTCGTGTCAGAAAACTTTAAAAGAAATGTTTTCATAGATATACGATCTACAGTAACGGATGGTATGACAGTGATAGCAGCTCAGAGGGAAAGATGTAAGTGTATAGGTAAAGTGGCCTTATATATCCGGATTAAGGACGAGCAGCTAAAAATTATGTTTCTTATTGTATGAAATCTTATACTTGCATCATTTTGGGGATAGATTTTTTTTTTCAATATCTGAAGCGCAACTGGAATTTCAACAATCATCACTTAAGTTATCCATGAAGCCAGTCCCAGAAGTGAAAGCGGAGCCCCCCCTCCCCAGCAAATCTCCAGCATCTGCCAGCCGAAGAAGAAGAAAAGCCGCGGCAAGTGGTGAGTATTTTAGTTTGTTTAGAGAAAATTCCGGTCTTACACAAGTGACTCATCACGCAATAGATACTGGAGATTAACAACCAGTTAAGCCATATCGGTAAAATAAATCCATAGAGAAAATTATGGAATGGCATATTAAAGATATGTTAGATAAAAAAGACAATCACGCCAGTTTCCAGTAATTATGTCAGTCACGTGGTTCTCTGCAAGAAGCATAATGAGAATCCAGTTACTCACCTGAGAAGGTGACTTTTTGCAATAGACTATCGTAAGCTTAATAGCGTGACAAAATATCCGGTGTACCCATTACCCCTAACTGAAGAAATCTTGAGAAATATAACTTCCACTAGATATATAACTACACTATATTTAACATCTGGTTATTTTCAAATAGGCGGAAAGCCTGAAGATGCACCTAAAAGATTTCATAACTAAGTCTGGCACTTATGCATTTTTGCATATGCCGTTTGCCCTGTCGGGGGCGCCGGCAACATTTCAACGTTGTATGGACATTGTTTTAAGACCCGTCCTAGGGAAGAGAACTTTTATATATTTAGATGATATCATTATTACCAGCGAGAATTTGGAACAAATATAAAAGATTTAAGAGAGATGTTTTCATTGTTAAATAAGGCCAGTCTAAAAGTTAATGTTGATAAGTGCAAATTTGTAGCTAGAGAATTACGCTATTTCGAATGTAAAATTTCCCAGAAAAGAATTGAAACGGATAAATCAAAAATAATTGCCATTCAAAATTACCCGCCTCCAAATACTGCGAAAGAATTATTTTCTTATCTAGGAATGTGCTCATACTACAGATTCTTCATAAAGGATTATTTCGTCACTATTGCCGAACAGCTATTAAAATTAAAACGAAAGAAAGCAAGATTCTCCTGGACAGCTGAAACTAACACTGATTTTGAAAAATTAAAACAAACGTTAACACAAGCCCCTCTTTTGAAATTTCCCGAAAATGACGAAAATTGAGAGATTGCGGCAGACGCGTCAGATTCTTTAGTCGTACTTTAAATGATACTCAAAGGAATTATTCCGCCACTGAAAGGGAGACACTTGCGGTTCTGTTAGCTGTGCTGAAGTTCCGAGTCTATTTTGGAAAAGTTCTTCAGTAACAGTTTATTCCGATCATGCGGCGGTCATTAGATTATATTTGGGAAAGACCTTATCCCCAAGACTAATATGATGGGCACTTAAACTACAAGAATATAACTTGATAATTAAACATACGCTAGAAAAGGAAACAGTCGTAGCACACACATCGAAGCAC